CCCTTATTTAAACAGGAGTGAAGTGGTAGAGTAGGAAGTACTTTTTTCTGGAAATCATTTCAGAACCATTCGAAAGAAGTAACTAAAAGATTACCTATTCATAAATGAACATCAGTATAATATATATGTATATATATATATATGTATATATATACACATATACATACACACACATACACATATTTATACACGCATATATACATACGTATATACACATATATCTACATATATATATGTATATATAATTAGTGTTTAGTACGTGCTATGCCCACTGTGAGTTACTTTTTAAAATTGTTTATACACATAGATGGCTACACTTGTACTAAGTCACCAATTAGCCAAGTACGAGTCACTGCCTGTGGCAAAGTGAGTGGACCAACCTACAAAAAACTAGAAAAATAATTATTCTATCGTGGGTCGTCGATTTTACAAAGCCTATAGCTTTATCAATGACAAACAGATCAATGTATGATTCGGCAGTCGAAACTTTTCACATTCAGTCGACCATACACTCGCACCCATACCCTCATTTGTCTTGGAGCCGTCGGCATATATATATGAAAAAAAAGATAGATGTTTAATAAGGACCTCTCTAAGGACACATAGAAATAATGTTGGCGACGAGACGCTTCCTTGTGGGACCCCGTTTGCCTGGACATAAATGTCCGAAAAAGTGACATTGTCAGAAAAAGGTTTGACAGAAAAAGTTCTGTCGGAAATGAAATATTAAATAAAACAAGGCAAGTTTCAACATAATCCAAAAGCATGAAGTTTTCTTAGTAGGCCATGTCGCCATGTCATGTAGGCTTTTTCTATACTTAAAAATACTAAAATCAAATTTCTGGGCAATTGCTTCTTGAATATGATGGTTAACATTATAATTACTAGTTTGCTAGTTGATCGAGAGTTTGGCGTCCCTTTCGGAAACCGCACTGCTCATCAACTAGTAAATTACTGGAATTGAAAAAATGCAATAGCCTACTGTTAACAATTCGTTCCATGACCTTGCATAAGCAACTTGTCAACGCAGTTGGGGGGTAGACGATGGCAGATCTGGGATTTCCCCCTCCTTTCAATATGGGAATCATGTGGGCGAAGTGCAATGAGTTTGGAAAAGTGTGGCTCTTCCAAATTTCATTGTACACGTCTAGCAACTTAACCCATTCACGCCGGGTGTCACGTATACGTGACGGGCCCACTGTGAGTTTACTTGTTTGATTGTTTACAAACATAGATGGCTCCACTTGCAGTTGTACTGCCTGTCTCGTCTGTTTACCCTTTTCTTTAATTTACGAAATTAATTTGCGTTATCTTATTTTGCTGTTACTAATGTTTATAACATTATAGTAATTATAATGTTTATAATAAAAATAACCATCGATATTCATAGCATTAGTAAAAATACATTTTCCCGCCAAATGAAATCCGGTAAAGCAGAGCCATCTAGTGTAGAGAAATTTCATTAAAAAATATAAAAAATGAGCACAGCATTTCCCCCATTTTTTGTTCATTTTTACCCGGCGCGAATGGGTTAATCATGATTAAGATGCTTTATCATCTCATATCGAATCTCATCGGGGCCTGGGGATGTTCCTCTACAGGTTTCTAGGGCTCGGACGAGCTCATTCCTTGTAAGATCTTTATTGTAATTAAAGTCATCTCCTGTGGCAAAGTGAAAAAGTTGCTGCTCAGCCGCTTCCTTGGTGGGCAGGAACGCGGGATGGTAGTTTGCTGAGCTGCTTGTATGAGAGAACTGCCTGGCGAGTGCATTAGCAATGTCTCTTGGTGAATCGAAATTATTACCCTCGTGAATGATGTTAGTTTTGAAAGATGTTTTTTTTTTCTTATTTATTTTATTGACAGTGGACCAAACTTCTGATATTTTGGTAATTGTAGAGACAAAGCTTCGCCAGGAGTCTCTTTTTGCTTGTCTTATTACTCTACGAGCCCTAACTCTTGCTTGTTTATAGTTGCAAAAGTTCTTATAATTGATGTCATTTTTGAAAAGCCCGTAGGCCTTATAGCGTCGGCACAGCGCCCTGCTTAACACAATATGTCGAAGTTTTAGGAATGGATAGCAACGCTGCTTCTGAAATTGAATTCTGAATATTGTTTACTTTATCATCAATCTTTTCTCCAACAAGCTCGAGCTAGACGGTCCTTGTGAAGGCGACCCACTCTGCCCCTTTTACATTAGATTTGGGTGCTGATGGCGTTCTCACTGTGTCGCATGAATATTCAATCAAAATAGGAAGATGATTGCTTCCCAACGAGTCGTCAATGGTGTGCCACAGGCACTTGGCTGCTATTGATGAAAAAAACAGTTATATGTCAATAAAGCTCAATTTACCGGTATTTCCGTCCACCCGCGTCCGACTACCATCGTTCAGAAGGACTAATTCAGACTCATTAATCAACTTAACTACTTGCTCACCTCTACCATCCACCCGCAGGGAACCCCATAACGTATGATGAACATTAAAATCACCTAAAATTACTT